TTCTACCTTTTGAGCCGAGATAAAGCTTTACCTTTTTCGGCTAGCCATCTTTCAAATGTTAGCCCTCAAGGGTTGGTCACGTTCTAAAACATTAGCCTAATTAGCCACACTTGAAAGGTACACTCTTATCAGCCAATCTATTACTCTCCTCAATTAGTAGATCCATTACTCTCCTCAATTAGTAGCCACACGATGAGGTCCTCCACACTCATTTACTTTCTTTTCTGTTTGAAATAGTTCTTAAAATCTACCCAAGTCGGAGGCAACTTTTCAATAATTGCAACTACTTGAAAAGTCTCACTCAATGTCTTTCCCTTGGCATGTACGTCATGCATGATTATTTGGAGTTCTTGCACCCGATCCATAACAATTTTAGAATCCACCATTTTGTACTCTAGAAAACGTGCAAAAACATCAACATCCTCTGTATTATTGTACTCCTGCTCCAAAGATTCCCATAATTCTTTTGTTGTTTTAGTGGTACTATACTTGTTTGATAATGTTTCCACTAAGCAATTCAATACATAATTGCAACAAAGCAAATCTGAGTTCTTCCAACCATCAATGATAGCTTGTGCTTGAATGTCCCCTACTTGGCCATTCAAGTTGGGTGGATCCTTTGTCAGAAATCCATCCAAGTTTAGTAGTGTCAAATAGAACATCATTTCCTATTGCCAAGTCTTGAAATCTAAACCATTGAATTTCTCTCGTTTGTGTGGTGGCACCAACACTTTATGTGGTAAAGGAGGAAGAGGAACAAGTTCAGTTGTTGCAGAAGTATTCGCTCTCTTGTTGGCATATGTGTTTTCCATCTGAAACGGAAGTTTTAATTAATGTAGTATATATAAAAGTTATTAACAAAATGTTTTTTGAAATAATAATACCTAGTTGTGAGAACAACAAAACTGGAAACGGGAAATAAAATGATTATGTTTTCGAAATTCTGGAAATAATAACTTTTTTTTGAACATCAACCTTTGGAAACAATAACAATAACTGGAAATTTAGAAAAGATAAAATTTTCTTTTAAAGTTCTAAACACTAGAAACATAAAATTAGTTGGTTTCTAAAAATCCTAGAAACCAACAAAGCTGGAAACATCCAGTTTATGAAAATCCAGAATAATCTAAGAAACAAAAAAAAAGTGTTCTTGTTTTATGTCAACGAGTTCATTCCGTGAGTCATACTCATAGTTCTCTTCTCATGAACAATAGTAAGAAAACAGAGAATCGTGTATCCCTTTTCAACAGTTCATTCCTTGAAATGAAAACAATTTCCTAATAATATGAATACTTACTTGGTATTCCAATGCTTTCTTAAGTTGCAGTAACACCTCACTAGTTGTTGGTCGTTGTTCTCTTTCACGGTGTAAGCATTGATAGGCAATCATTTGAAATGTAGACAACGATTTTGGAACAATTTGTTCCTTTATTCCTTAAAACACTATCTCATGGAGTGTTCCTTTTTTATAGTGGATTTTAATCAAACGTGTTAACCGTTGAAAATTGTCACCGTTGTTTCCAAACACCAATCTCCCACACAAGATCTAAAATAAGACGATACCAAGTGAATATATATCAGATTTTTCTGTAAGGAAACCTGATTCTGCGTACAGTGGGTCACAGTAGTCGGGTGTGCCTAAAGCGTTTTCGATGATAAATTCCATATCTTTATTTATTGGACTTATCAAGGAAACCGCAAAATCTGTAATTTTTGCTTTCCAGTCATCATCTAGTAGAATGTTTGCACTTTTGATGTCCCTATGTATGACCACTTCTTGTGTTACTCCACCTCCATGAAGGAAATCCAACCCGCTTGTTATATCAATACATATCTTGAGTCGTTTAGTCCACGAAAGACCATTGTCTGACAAGTACTTACCAAGATTTCCTCTAGATGCATACTCATAAACAATGATGCTTTCACCCAATTCGTTGCAATAACCCACAAGACCGATGATATTCTCATGTTTATACTCCAAAAGAATTTGCAGCTCCGACAAAAATTCTGGTTCTCCCTGACCGAACCGTTTGTCCAGCCGTTTTGCAGCAATGGCATTACATCCAGTAGCGTGTGTAACTTGTCCTTTGTAGATTTTCCCGAATCCACCCGTACCAAGCAAGTGATCATCACTCAAGTTTTGTGTGGCCGATTTTATCTCCTCCAGTGAAATTTTGATGCTGTCTTTGGAGTTTTCCTGTGAATTAACAAACACTCGGTTAACTTGAAAATTCAAAAATAACCTGAGAAGGCAACTATTAAAAGTTATACAACTAAACATTGGAGTTTTTCGGAATTCGCATGATGAAGACAACTATCAAAACGCTTAGGAGATTGTATTGTGGTTTCAATTTTTAGCGTGATAGGTCTTTTATCCATGTAAAAAAGCAAAACTATTTTTTACCCTTTTATTTTCATTTTTTATCTTATTTTATATTTTTAAATTATCTTTAATTAAACACAAAAGAAATAAGATAGACCCCACCATCCCACGGACCCACTCACCCCCTTCCCTTTAACATTAAAACCTTTTGAAGGTTCATCCTGCTTTGTCTTCCATATTAAATTAAAAAATAAAATGAAATTAATACAAATTATAAGGTTATATAACTTCACATATTTATTTAAATTAACGATTATAATTTTATATAACTAAAAAAATATACTTTAAGTAATAATTTATTTAAAATATTTGATTAATAATTTTAATTTTGTAATATGAATTTTTAATTAATTTCATAACCGTGGTTCTTACGGATTATAAACTAGTATATACAAAAGTTAGAATCATGAAATTTCTATTTATAGATATCAAAACAAGGTGACAAATCATTTGTTTTTTTTTTTCTAGTCAACCAAATTTTGGAATGTAACGATACAATTATTACCTAATTCATTCCATTATACTGTTTATTTCATCATACCAAACATATCTTAAGTTTTGAACAAAATCTCCTTTCTATTTTATATCGTGATCGAAATATATAATATTTCATTAATGTCCATAACCTTTATATATATATATATATATATATATATATATATATATATATATATATATATATATATATATATATATTCATTTAAAATTGTGATATATTCTTACAAGGCCTCAAATATCAAATACTCATCTTCGATACATATATATATATATACATACATATGACTAAATAGGTTATTTTCTATTATAATAAATGAGGGTTGTTTTTGCCACATGTTATTTTCTATTTTATTTGGACATATGATATTTTCTTGAATTTTTAAATTTTCTATTTTCCACTTGTCATTTTATTGTATTTTTCATTTTATTAGAATCAAATTCCATATTTAATGTGTAAGGTAATATATATATATATATATATATAAAAGGTATTTATTAGAAAGAGTTTATATATGTAATGTATTAATACATTAAAATCTCATTAAGTTTGTAATTCATTTTTTTTCCTTTTTCTTATAAATTCAAACTTTTCAAATTGTTAAAATTTTATATCTATTTTTTTAATTAATCCCATGTAATACATGAGTATCACACCTAAGTAAATTTATATTAAGTTAGTGATAAAAAAAAATTACTTATTATTGATGAAATTTTACTAACGGATGATAAAATTGGAAATGAAATTGTTCGCTAAATTTTTGTATATGAAAATGTACAAAAGGTAAGGGAAAACTAACAAAGTGGTGATAAAATTTATGAAGGATTTGTGTCTAAACGGATTATATATAACTTACATGTAAAGATAATGATTCTTCGAGTTTCATGACAATGACTTCCGCTGTTGGACGCTCAACTTGAGTTTCTGCCACACACTGATAGGCAATTTTTGAAAATGCATCTAAGGAATCTGGATCTGGTCCTTTGTTTAGACTGAAAATGTTTTCACGATTTTCTTCCATTAACCTAGGATCAAACATTCCCTTTATTGTTCCATCATTAAAGCGTCTTCGTGCGACAGGTGCAATCCCATTAATATCTTCCTTGGTGTAAATTGGATCATTGGCAAACCTCCCAGACAACATCTCAAATAAAACTACCCCGAAAGAGTAAATATCTGTTTCATTCTTCAACCGACCTGTTTTATCATATTCTGGATCCAAATACACTTTTGTGCCCGCAATATTTTCTGTATAGAGTGTGTTCAACTGTTCATTCTCTGGGCGGAATTTAGAAAGGCCAAAATCGGCAATCTTCGCCTCCCAATTCTCAGTCAACAGAATGTTACCGCTTTTTATGTCACGGTGTATTATCCTTCGATCATCATCTATCTTGTTGTGAATGTAATTCAACCCACATGCAACATCAATGCATATCTTTATACGTTGAACCCAAGTTAGATTAGTCAGGCTACCAGTGCCTTCCAAATATTCATCAAGGCTGCCATTAGAGGCATGCTCATAGACAAGTATCATATGGCGACCTTCATTACAAAAGCCAAGAAGAGAGACTATGTTAGGATGTTTGCAACCGGTAAGCATTTCGATTTCTGCAAGGAACCCTTGCTCTCCTTGTTTGTCTTCTCTAATCAATATCCGCTTTATAGCTACAGTGCTGCGTTTTTTTGGAAGTTCGCTTTTATTTTTCACTTCTAATGGCACCAAGCTTTTGCTATCAAAATGGTAAAGTTCTGTTTTGTGGACATGACCATATGTGCCCGACCCAATGAGGTATTTTTCAGATAAATTCTCTGTTGCCTCTTCTATATCAAGTAGTGGGATCTCTAAGTGTTCCAAGTTTTTCCCCTGCAAAATTGTGGTAGTAGGCCTGAAAATGAAGTTAATATTTGTAGGGAAATCTACAGAAAGGTTCTATTATTTTGGAAAATTTAACGATGAAGTTCCAAAAAAAAAAATTAATAAAAACCCAAAAAACTGGCTGCTTTCTTGACATCATTCCCTTTTGACATGTTTAGCAAGTCATGGGGTCAAATCGTTAATTTTTATAAAATAATGACTTTTTTTTATAGATTACCTCAAATTAACGATCTGTTAAAATCTTGTTTTGTTTTTAACAGAAAAATTATAGGTAAAGTTATATGTCAAGTATTTAATCTTTTGGCACTAGGCGTTAATCACGAACTACGGCCTAGTCGGGGACTAATCGAAGACTATCATCTATTCATATAAAATAATGACATGTGAAATTCACTAATTCTCATTTTCTTAATCTCTTCTTTTCATTTTGATAATTTTTTTATCTAGTTAATTGAAAGATGGACAGGAAGAAAAGATAAAAGAACATTTGATTTCTCATTTAATATTAAGAAAAATTACACAACTAACTATTGTAGTTTTTCGGAATTCGCATGGTATTTTATTTTCAATTTTTATGTGATTGGTCTTTTATCCATATAAAAAGTAAAAATAATTTTTAACCCTTTTATTTTCATTTTTGATATTATTTTATATCTTTAAATTAATTTTAATTTACAACAAAAGAAATAAGATAAACCCACCAACCCTACCTATGTATTCACCCTCTTCCCTCTCCTATTAAAATATTTTAAACCTTCATCCCCCTTTCGCATCCTCTTCTTTCTATTCTTAGTTGGAGAACAAACACTAATGTGTACATGTGGTAAATCACACTGCCATTAGCGGTCTTCGGTGAAAAGTTTTATCCTCACCGGTATTAGTCTTTTTTCTCTGAAACCACCACTGCTTCTTTCAAGGTTACAGTGCATGTTGAATATGGTGGTCTTGTTTGAATGTGTGGACTGTACGAGGTGGTGGCATTGGCGATGGTTGACGATAGTGGTGGCAATGAGTGAATGTGGTGGTGTAGGTTGAAGGTGGCAGCCAAAGGTGATTGAGGCAATGAATAGAGGTGGCTGCCAATAGAAATAAGATTGAACCCACCACCCCCGCCTACCTACTCTCCCTATTCCCTCTCATATTAAAATCTTTTAAACCTTTATCCCCCTTTCTCATCCTATTCTTTCTATTCTTAGTTGGAGAACAACCACAGATGAGGACATCATGGGAAATAACACCGCCATTAGCGGCCTTCAATGAAAATGTTTATCATCACATGTATTAATCTTGTTTTTCCGAAGCCACCAATACTTCTTTTAAGGTTACGATGCATTTTGAATATGGTGGTCTAGTTTAAAGGAGTTGACCGAAGGAAGTGGCATTGGCGATGGTTGAAGATAATGGTGGTAGTGGTTAAATGTGGTGTTGTAGGTTAAAGGTGGTAGCCAAAGGTGATCATGGCGATGGATGGAGGTGGTGGTGGGTGCATGGTGGAGATGAAGGTGGTAGTTGTTTTTTTAGAGAGAAAGAAAGGGAAAGTTGTATTTTTTTTTATAGAAAGAAAGAGGAAGGAGTTTGCGGATTTTAGGGTTATGGTGAGGCTGGGTTATTTTTATTAAAAATCATTTTTTTAATTTAAAAAAGAACTATAAATTACTAAAAAAAAATCAAGCTAAAGCTAATTCTAGATTTAATAGTTGTTCTCACTATGCGATTTCTAACAAACCACAAGGACTCGTGTAATTTTTCTAGTATTTAATTTTTTGCAACCTTATTATTTTAACAAATATAGTATTATTTTAATAGTTAGTTATAGTTTTGGACCATGTGGTATACATCTTTTTACATGTTTGGTTGTACTTTTAGAAATTGGACACTACATACTCTCATGATTGAAAAACATATCATTTTTGGTCCTCTAAGCTAACATTGTTAAAGTTTCTATTAACTTTAATGTAAAATGACTTTGTTCATATATAAAAAAATTGATAAAAGTCCTTAACTTTAGGAACCATTTATGAAAATACATTGAAATCTGAGATAAAAACTAGAAGCCATCATGTCTTCTCTTAAAAGCTTTAGACAATGCCCCATGGTTCCTTGTTGACAACTTAATCTAAATCTGTAACATTCTTATCCTCATATCCTTAGGTATAATTGTTTAAAGCTTAAATTGTCATTTTTGTGTTTTTATGTCCTATGTTGAACATAGGATAGTCCCCTACGAAAAGTGTAGGTGGAAGATATCATGCATCAGTTTAATCATCTACACTGAGCGTAGGTTGAGTTATGCTTAGCGTAGGTACGTTGCACCAAAACCTTAATTCTTCGGGTTATAAGCCTTATTTAAAGGCACTAACTCCTTGAGGCCTTCTCCATGCTCAACCTTCACCCTCTTAATCAGTCATCTCAAAACCATAGCCACCTTATGAGAGTTTTGAGGCCTTAAAGTGTTCTTGTGTGCTTCTTTGAAGGAGGAGTTCATTGGAGAATCGCATTGGAGCTCCAAGATTTATAGATCTAATTTTTTCATCTCATAATCAACCTCCAGGAGGTATAAAGTTTCTATCTTGGTGTTCTTTCATGCTATGTAACACCCCGACTCTCAGGTATTAATTTTCAGCTTTACTCTTTCATATTGAAAAGTCTACTCGACGAGTTGGAGGCCCTGACTCCTCAAGTAGGAATGCGTTTGGACCGCAAACTTAAGTGACCAACTCACCGAGTTGGAGGACACGACTCGACGATTTGGAGCTGGAGGATGAAACCCTAATTTTTCGGGGTTTTGCACCTTATTTAAACGGTCATTAGCCTCCCTTAGCCTCCCATATAGCCCCTTGTGAGTCCAGAAGCCCTAAATCATCGTTTTCTCTCCATACTTGTGTGTTTTAAGCATTGGAAGGTGGATCTTGGTGAGAGGAACGGGAATATTAAGAAGTTTGAGGCAAGGAACGTGTGTGGATCTGAAGTCTACCCTAGTTTAGCATCATTTGAAGGTATCAAGTCGTTACCTTGATCCTCTTCTAGCTAGATTCTTCTATATTTGAGTTAAGGGGCCATTCTGGCATATTGGTGCTTCATTTCGAGTGATGAACCAAAATCTAAAGTTGTAACTTCAGATCTAGGCTCATCTTGGCCCCTTACAATCATAAGGTCTCAATCTTTAGCATGTTAGTGTAATTCCCTTGCCTAGAATGTCTTCTTTAGCTTGATTTAAGTCATTAGTACCTTGCATGTAACTTTACGTAAGAAGTATACCTTAGTAGCTTAGATCTACATTATGCAACTTTGGAATGGCTTAAAAGTCATCTGAATGGAGGAAAGACTGAAGGGACTCGACGAGTTGTATGGTCAACTCAGCGAGTCCGATGAAGATTGTCATGCAAGGGTTTCTACATGGACTCGGCGAATCAGTAGGAAGACTCGGCAAGTTAGTTAGGGTTTTCCTGACTTTTGTACATGCATGAACTAGGCGAGTTGTAGGGAAACTCAATGAGTCGATGAGGGATGTCATGACTTCTCGAGTTTAGGAAGGAGTCGACGATTCGGTGAACTGCACTCGATGAGTCGGGTCAACATGGATTGTTGACCTTGACCATTGACTTGGACTTTGACCAAGGGTTGACCAATGGACTTCTGGGGTATTTTGGTAAATTGGAAATTTATGAATATGGTTCTATGGTAAATATAGGCGGTGGAGTACGTGGCGGTGATTTGAGAGTTTGAGCTTATCACTTCAGTTCAACAGTTGTGAAGTGAGTTTTCCTCACTATACTCAAGGGTATAAGGCACCAAAGTCGGCCCTTTGGATTATCATCCTGATATGTTATATGCTGAGTATTATATGATCTGTTAGATCAGTATCCTGGTAGATAGGATTGTATATGTGGTTATGATCTGCTAGATCAGTATCCTAGTAGATAGAATATTATATGCAGTTATGATTTGTTAGATCGGGTTGTTGGTGTATAGAATATTATGTGGTTATCTGTTATATGTGTGCATGTTTGGTTAGTGGTTAAGGCTTCTCTGCTTTGTGCTAAAGACAATAGAACTGGGCATTCCATCCCAATGGTTATGGGACGTGAGTATTCCATCCCGATCATGATTAGACTCGTAGTATGTGGGCATTCCAACCTGTTGGTTGTACGCTTGGGGTATTCCATCCCGATGATGATTGGACCCATAGTATGTTAGCATTCCAACCGGATGGTTGAGGGCCTGGGGTATTCAAACCCGATGGTTAACTAGACCAATATTATGCTGCTTGTGATTATATGAGTATTGTTGTGTCTATTGGTTTTTCTGAGGGAACTCACTAAGCTTTGGGATTACAGCTTCAGTTTTGGTTTCCGGTACATCAGATGATCGCGGGAAGGCAAATGCGTGATCGTACAGCTCCTGATGTTTATGGTCTGTTTCTTGGATTCTCTGATATTATACTATTTTGAACACAAGTTTTGTAATGATTAATGGTTTTGAAATGTTTTGAAAAAGTTTAAATTTGGCATGATTTTTATGGGTGTTACATGCTAGATCTAGTTTGGTAATGGGTTTATATACTTTTTGTCCCATAATCTTCGTCTTTAAGAGTATGAGTTAATCCAGGACATTTGAATGCCATTTTAAGATGTTTTTCGGGTTGTTGAGTCATAAAAATGAAATATTGGTCATTCTTATCCATCCATGCATGAGTTCTTGAGCATTAGAGTACCTTATGGACTTAGGGTTTGGTTTTATTGCTCATTGTTGGCATGCGAATGGATAAAGACAAACACTTTATCCATTAGAACATTGACTTAGTCCACATGTGAATGTTTGAGGAAGTAACTTTCTATATTAAGAGCTTAATGACGTTTTTGGAAATCAGATGGCTATGTTGAGTGTAGATTTCTCTACGCTAAGTTTAGTGTAGTTTTGGCCCGTTTTTCACATCAAGCTCTACACTAAGCGTAGAGCAATATGTGTGTTGAGCATAGGTTAACTGAGGGTTGACTGCTGATTTTTTGACAAATTTAACTTTTGGTCAATTAGGATGAGTCTTAGTATTGGAGGTTCATCTATGAACCAAGATCCTTTTGAGTGTTAGCTTTTACCTTAATTGTTAATTAGGGTTTTATTGTAGATATGTTTAGTGTGAGGAGTTATAGTATCACCAGCTCAGGTGTATGATTGTCTTGTTTGTAGAGTGAGGTGAGTCTTCTCACTATACTATATACGTTGCTCGATTGTCTTTGTGACTCTTGCATGAAAGACTATGGTTGGATCACATGACTTGTATGAAAGAATGTGGTTGGATCAAAACACATGTATGTAAGACTGTGGTTGGATCACAACACTTACATGTAAGACTCTGGTTGGATCACAACTCTTATTGTCTTTTGTGACTTGGATGGAAGACTATGGTTACATCATGGTAGAAAGGTTATGAATGGGTTACAATATGGAAGTGAATGTAAGACCTTCGATCATACCACTGACATATAAATATATATATATATATATATATATATATATATATATATATATATATATATATATATTTGGTATGCGGTATTTTGGGAAACTCGCTAAGCTTTGTGCGTACGATTTTTTGGTTTAAACATTTTCAGGTAAGTCTAGTTCCAAAGGGAAGAGCTCGACTTGTTTACACAACATCCCCTTATGACTTCAACTCATTGTTTAGTACTATTCTACTCTGATCGAGATACATTTTACAATGATTGATTTTGAAACAAATATTGTAAGGAGGTCGACTTGTGCTTACAATTTAGGGTTTTCTGGTTCTCAACGGCAATAAGGAGGCTGAGAGAAGGACATAAAGTCTTTTAAATAGGGTGCAACCTTCAAGATTAGGGTTTTCTCATTCCAGCACTAACTCGTCGAGTCCAACTTTCGACTCGGCAGTTGATCACTTAATTCGCGACCCAAAACCCGCTCTGACTCGGAGAGTAAGTATACCTACTCATCGAGTCCCTTTT